TTTTTTGCGTTGTTGTTTGGAACGAGTCACTCGGATACTCCCCGAATTTTGATTTCGACTTTCTATGCCGGTATAACTGCTGATTAAGTATTTTATTGAATTTGATTTCGCGCGTGAAACTTTTCTTTCCGTCTGCTGCTGTGTTTGATTTGTGATAATTTCAGGTGCCAAACTAGAATTTCAATCCTTATTGATCAACATCTTTTCAAATGGCATGCCGAGTCGCGCTAAAGCGTTCGTTCGAGCTCGATCCACATCACAGTCCCGAGTCTTCGATGAAAAGACTTCGGGAAAATGCGGTGCAGTGTCCGACGTTTCACTCATCTCCGAAGACGGCTTCGTCGTCTCTATCTCCTCTGCAGTTAGGAGAAAGCGACAGCGGATCTCAGAGGCTGTCAAGCGATGAGTTAGAGACTTTTTTGCGCAATCAGATCAATAGCTCAAAAAGGCGCTGTTTCGGTCTTGCTGCGCCCAGCGACGAGAACTCCGGTGGCGTAGTTGGTCCGGTGTCACCGACTTCGAATTCTGATTCAGATAGTGAGCACAGGATGGATAGCGCGCCTTCGGCCGGTGGCATCGACTATTTGGAGGCTATCAGCGCAGGTCAGGATGCATCGTCGGTGTCACCGCGTGGTCAAGCGGTCTTCACGTTGCGTCAGGTGAAGAAAATCTGTGAACGACTGCTTAGGGAGCAGGAAGACCGACTGCGTGAAGAATACGAAGCAGTACTGAACGCGCGCCTCGCCGAACAGTACGATACGTTCGTACGATTTACGTACGACCAGATACACCGCCACTTCGATGACACATCCATCTCATACTTGTCGTAACAAGCGTCGTTGTCTATTAGGCACTTCGAGTGGAATATCGACGATGGGGACTTCGTTTTCCAACGCTGGCATTTCATCATCTATTATTTGTTTTGCATTCATAAATTGAATTGTTGCTTTTGTACAAACTATTTTGTTCCTTGCTGAAATGTGCATTTGACAAGGTTATTTAGTTCCACCATTTCTTTCCTGTGACTACAGAAAATTTAAATGAGCAATGAAATCTCTGCAAACTGTTTCAAATTGATAAGATTATTTAAATGGTAATGCCGGGGCAGTGAGGCTGCATTATTCATTTGCAGGGTGCCGTAATCGTGATGGGTATAAGCAAAACGGAGATTTTGTAAAATGCTTTCGATTAGCCTAACCGGACGTTTGTGAAATAAAATGATTAAAAGATGTTTTACCTCGTGGAGAATGTTACATGATATTCTTTTCAAAAAATTTGCCTCATGACGTCGTAACGATCCAATATCTAGCGTTTTTTGTCTTTGCCTGATCAATAATTATTTTTCGCAGTGTGAATATACTTTTAGTGGAAGAAAATTATGAAATGATATGCTTAAGTTATTCGTTTCCATATATCACTTCGGTCATGTACCGTTTACTAGGTAAAACGATCGGTTTCTGTAGTTTGTAGCAATAGACTGCATTCGCATTTGACGGTAGGATTTGTTTCCACTTCGCATACTCCAAATCCTCCTGAACTGGATTTCATCTTTCATACGCTTTGAAGGTGGTTAAGAAATCTTCAGCATTGAGGTGCAGAAAAAGTATCCTGTGCCTTTATCAGATTTTTATTAAGTGTCCTTTCTGATCCGTCGTTCCTAGATGCCTGAAGAGCCTCTTGAAAAAGCCGTGGCATTTCACTACTCATGGATTTGGAGTGTGATGCAGCCTCACGGCATGTCTGAATTAAGCCGAGGATTTTCGATGCCGCTGTACAATATCCCGCTCTTGTTACTGTCATTTCTATTTTTGAAGGCCTCCTAGAACCTCACATTCATTAGAGATGCAGTTGTGATGCTAGCGAATTGATGCAGCAAGTGATCAGCTCAATTTAATACTCAGCTTGTGTTTGTTTCACACTGCAATTTAATATTGTTGGGTATTGTATTGTATATGTTGAAAGCTATGTCATGTTAGTAAGGTTCTTTAGGCATCTAGATGCCAGGCACATGCGCGGTGAAAATTTAAATGAAATTGTATACTGCTTTGAAGTTCCGAAATTGCTATTTTTAATAGTTGCTTCAGCATATTTCGGTCATTCATTGTGCATGCAAAATAAACTACTATTTTAAAATTTTCTATCAGCAATTTTCTCAATTCATATTCCGTGCTAATTATACCTGACAACAATTAAAAATTTCACACTTCCGTCATTAACTCAGATTCAAAAGCTTTTGGGTTTAACTTAGAAAAAACTAACATTCAGAGCCAGATTCAATATGACATGTGATATTCTTTTGAAAGTTCAGTTAGAGTTTTTAAACAAATTTATTCAGAACTGAATTACTGGAAAAAAAATTTCGGTTACTTCGGTTTTGAAATAGTACATTCATTATTCGTCTCATTTTAATGCGCTTAAGTCGATGGCACTCATTAGTTATGAAAATGCACTGTCTTCACAATATGTAATTATTGTAGCAAAGACTGTGACATAGTGAAAACAGACAAATGTATCAGTCGGTACTGCGGTAAGTGTCACTTAATCGACGCATAAAAACTTATTTTCTTGCTTCTACATGCTAAAGTATCGCTTGAACAGATAACGGCTTGATGGTATTTAGACACCGGTAAATGCTCTGTCACATGTCTCACAGAGACATAACAGTACTCACTCAAATCCACCTGGAATGACATCATACATCGGCAGCTATGTGTCTTGTGAAAGTCCTTTTTATTTTGGGAACCGAAACTTGCAATTTTGCATACTGTCGACATGATTGATACCGTGATGAATTACCGGCGATCACGATGAATTCAAATTCTGCCCAAAATACGAGGAATATAACTATCTTGACCATAGCACGCATTTCAATTAGGCAAAATACTGTGAAAACGAACGTAGAACATATCAGAACGTCCGTATTTGCTACAGTGTCATCAGAATGCAGTGCAATAAGCCAGTAAAAAACATAGGTATCATATAACAGAGCTCCCACCTCCAAAACAGAATTTTCAAGTAGTTCAACTTAATGCGAAGACACTAAAATTATATTTAGAATACCTTATCATTGGCATCGAAATATTGTTCGTGATGGTATACAGTAGGAGGTCAACTAAACAACTGGGTCCATGCATTAACTTGCTCATAGGTGCTCACGACCTTGATATGTACAGTCGCAACGATTTCGCTCTGAATTCAACAGTAGTTGCGAACTCCCTGAATCCCAGGCTATGCTGCTAAAATGCGTAAGTGAAGCAATGTATTTACACAAACTAATGGTTGAAAACTTCAAACCAATATCAGGCAATGTATTTATCTCACTGAAAATTTTTTTAAAACATCCATAACTTTACAGTTGACTCTCTGGTTTAGACGCGGTTGCACAGTGACATGGTAAATTTAATTAGAGTTTTGTCAAGCAAAAACAAATTTTCCGTATATTATCGTAATATATTAGACTAGCGTATTCTTTCTACAAG